AGATTTCACACTTCCCAGCCTGTTAGCCTTCTTTTGGCTAGTTGCTCCTGCAAATTGAAATCTGTACATAAAATGTAGGTGTTTTAGTATGGGGTGTGGTCAGCGAGCTGGCCTGGGTAACAAAAAGGTGTCCCTAGAAAAATCTGTTTGTATTACATGGTTTCTTCAAGGAATTTGTAGTAGGTATATTTTTGCCACTATTCAGACAGTGAAAGAGAGTGTGTGTGTGTGAGTGTGTGTGTGTGAGCGAGAGAGATATTTGTGGTTTGGGGTTTCCTTTTGCCTCTTAAGGAAAGAGGCAGGTTAAGATCTTGTGATGTTTCCCATACTGGGATGGCTTGTTGGATTCCACTATCTTGATGGATTAAGGCAGGTGAACGTTTTCCAATTGTACTGGAAGACCTGGGTGCTCTGCTACACCAAGTCACGCTAGCCTGTGCTAGATCACAGATGTACATGGGAGTTCTGTGGTGAAGCCAAGAAAATGCAACACACAGACTGGGGAGAAGACAAATTAACAGTGAATATTTATATTGTTGTAGCTTCTAGTCATAGTCATCTCTGAAGGCTGAAAGAAGAAAAATATAACTGAAAGAATGCAGAATTTTTTTTTTTAATGGGAATTTGTTAGCTCTTTCCCTCTGTTCCTGGGAATATAAATATTTCACTGATCTCGAAGGCCTCAGGGGTATGTGTTGTGTGTCTGAGGAAGGCTTGGCAGGTGAAAATACAGTGACTATGGAAGCCAGGTGATGGAAGAAAATAATTTTTTTTTTTACAAGCTATTGGATAAAGATGGCATTGCTGGATGAATGGTAAGTAATAAAATGGAAAATTAGGGATTGACTGAAGGGTCTTAAAGGAGTTAAACTGAGCACACAGGAAAAAATAGATCAAAAGGCAAAATAGTACAAATGATGAGACATTTTGCACACTTTCAGTTTTGTAGTGGAATGTTTCCTTCTTTAAGCTTAAAATATAGTGTCATCTTGTCCTGTCTGAGGCATCAAAACCTAAAGATTTTGGTCTGGTCATAAGGTGGAGGAGCAGTAATCTTATGTGTGTCTTACAATGATTCCTGTCCTATCTTTCTTTAAAGGAAACGGTTTCTCAGTGAACTGTTGATGTTCATATATACCTTTGAAACTTCTCGACAGGCTACATTGTGTCAAAAACTTTGTGACATTAGGTCTCCTCCTGTTTCACACTGTGAACTTTTTATCATATTGAAGGTTTTTTTGGAAGAGACAATAAAGTAGGCTTATGATGACTATGTTCTTTTGGCATATCTCTTAGTCTTGATCTTTGAAATGTGGGTCGAACTCTGGATACCTTTTCCCGCTCACCAATCACCAATCTCCAAATGGAAATGTGAGATGTGTGAACTCAGAGGATGCAAATGTGACTCCAAGTAAGAGAGAGGGTCTTTAGGCTTTGTAGATCTCCAGTCCCCAGCACTTCATAGGCAACAGGTTATGACAGGCCTCTGGCAGAAAAATAGTAAAACTGCCAACTAGGGAGTGTGAAGTCGGCATTTTTTGTAGTGCATTGCTTGCCCAATGTTGTAGCAGTGAAACTAGTGAAACTCAGAATCTGCTGTTCAGGATGAAATGAAAGTGAAAAGTTAAGTCACTTTTCAACTCTCTGCCAAAAGGGGCAGAGTAACACCTTCTAGTGATGATGTGTCCCTGTTCACCCTGGTTGACTCCCGCAAACTAGCAAGAGAAACACTTGGTCTTTTAGGAGGCTTTTCCTGAATCCATGGAGGCTGATCTGCAGCACTTTTTATTATTTTTAAAAAATTTTTGGCCATTGTGAACATTTGCTGCTTTAGCTTATTTGAAACATGAGGCAAGATCAAAATGAAAATACTTTATTTTAGAAGAAAGGTTCTTGAATATGGTAATAGGAAACTACTGAATGAATAGTATAATGTAGATCAGAAATGTGAAAGATATTAAGCTCTTCTTCTGACTCTTGCTTGTCATTTCTTAAAGGTACTGTACAGTGGGCCTTTGTCCGTGGGATGCTATTCATTAAAAACAAATTCTATCCTGGAATTTTCTTTATTCCTATCTGTATTTGGAGATTTCATATTTTGTATTTAAATTATAAAGCAGATTAACAAAAACAAAGCCCTTACTCATATCCAGCACTTTTGGGTATCATTCTGTGTTGTGGCCTTGCTTTCAATCTTTAATTTACTCAGAAATAAATTTCTCTGAATAAAGCAAGACTGTAGAGATCAATTTTTTCAGCCTATGTGTCTCTGCTGTCAAGAAGGCAAGTGTATTGCAGTCATAAACTGGTAATGTTTAAAAAAAAAAAAAAAAGTATCTCAGCATTATGCAGTAGTTCATCTTTTGGCTTATTATTATATTGAACTAAGTATAACAGCACATATGTGCTTTTAGGTTTTCTAATACAAGGCCTTATTTATTGATATGGCTGTGAAAACACACATATTCTTCCCTCCGCTATTTCTTGATGTTAGATAATAAATGAAGTACATCAAGTGGGCTCTCCTTCATCCGTAAGAGCTTTCTGGGATTTACTATCCCATTGTGTTCTTCACATGTTCCTTTCAGCTTGTGACCTTTTTGCTGTCTCTAACAGTTTAAATATTGTGGCAAAACTTCATGAATCATTCTGTCATGAGAGATATTAGTTGTGTATTATCCTGCCTTTCACAGACTCCACAGAGAACATATTGATGTGAGGAGAGATATTTAAAAATAGGGATGCTTGGAGCATGTCATGCAGTACACACAGGTCTCCTGTAATACTGCCAGTGTCAGGAAAAATATTCTGAAGTCCCTCACTGCTAGTGAAAAAGAGGAATCTTACCAAGCAGGAGAGTTTGATCAACCCATCTTGATACGACTCAGTGTGAAAACAAACTTTTATTCTTGAAGATCCACACCAGTAACTACCTTTCCTGTTGAGCCCCACTAGCCTGCCTTTCTTGGTTTTGGAGGGGTGGGGATGTTGTTTATTTTATTTTGCTTTCCACTACCACAATTTCTGAAGCTGCAAGATATTCTTTATGGAGGTTTTGGCATCTGCTTTGGTCCAGGTGCTATACATTATCTTCTTTTAAGCCAGAGTAACAACTGATTTGCTAAGTATTTGCCTCTATATAGGGAAGAATACAGTTTCATCAGGTGTGCAGGAGGACTAGTGACTAAAAAACTAAGCCACTCTGCTGAGCACAGATGTGTTGGGGGTGCCCCAACAATCCACCAAGGCAACATCCTGACTAGCTAATTACAGCAGCTAAAATGTCTTGGTGCATGGCACAGAAACAAGCAGTAACACCCATCTGGGTGGGCTGGCTGCAGCTAAAGCTTATACTCTTGCTGGTGTTCTCTCCCTCCTTCTGAATCTCTTGCCTGTATTTAATCCTGCTGTAGTTTAAACACCTGTCTTTCTGGAATGTGTTAAATGTCCCCACTACTGATGCTGAGCTATTTGCTCACCTGCTTTGCTTAGAAAGACACCTTTCAAATAAACAATGATACAGTATTAGAGAGGAAAGCATATCGTATTAATTGAGCAGGGGTGAGGCAGTAATTCATCAGACTAAATGGTTCTTGGTATCAAGATGATGAGGAGAGAAAATTGGATAAAGTCATCTTCATTTCACACATTGGATGTGTTAGCAGAGTTGTGATCACTGTTGCTGACAAGCAAAGAATTGTATATATCCTATTTCATTTAGCATGTTGGCCTCTGTGTTGGCCTCATTTGCCATTCTTGCTTCTTTTCAGACAATAAACTCTTTGTGGCCAGAAACTGTCATTGTTAGGTATTTGTATAGTGCCTGGCACAATCAGAACTAAACCTAGTTTGAAGCTTTCTGTTATTGCAATGAAAATGCTTTAAATTTTAATTAAATTCTACAGAAGACAACAACATTTAAGGGTGAGGTGGAGGCATCAAAATGACACCTAATGCTGTTTTCCATATAAGATGGTTAACACTGGCCACTACTCAACTTGCCTGATATATCCCACTGTAAGATCTTGTTTTAAATTACTTGTAATGTTCTGAAACTTTTTCCTTTTGGACTCATGTTTTCTGTGCTTAATGCTCACTTTTCAGAACACTTAAGGGAAGGCGAAGTGTTCTGGTCAAAACCCAGGCTCAATTAAAAAATAAAAATTAAATCTGTGCATTTTAATGTCTTTAGAAACTTTTTTTTTTTTTTAAAATCTCTGGATCTCCCATGCTTTGAAATGTCAATTTGGAATTTAAAAATTTGTCCAAGCTTGATTGCACAGTAACTATCTGAAAAGCTTCAGGTGAAATATACTCAGCAGCACCTGCTAGAGCTTCTCAGCTTCCTGGAGCTTCCTTCCACACTGAGGATCCTAAACTGAATTTTTCTGTATTTTCACTTCTGGAGTACTGAGGCTTGAGACCCCATTCTCCTGTGTTCTCAGTGACCTGGCTCATGTTGGGTCATGTGTGGTAGAGTTTGGTTTTGAATTTTATATCCGAGGTATGTGTGCTGTTGGGTTGTGCCTGTACATATGCATAAAGAGGGGTAGAGAGAGGACAGACGCATATGGCTGGCTTAGTGACACAGCTCATGATGACTGGGCAGAGACTCTGGTCTCTGCTCAGTGTGATATGAGTTTCTAGCTTTTGTTTAGTGCGTGTAGAGTTAATTTTTCACATGGCAGGAACGTGATGTTGCTTTCTTACTTCGGGATTTTTGCCCCATCTTTGTTCTTTTCCTCCTTTGTTCTTCTGTGAATGGAAGGGTTGTAGTTTTAATGCTGGTACTTGAATTAATCTCAAGCCTGGTGGCTGTTAGTGTCATCTCTCCCACTGCTTTATGCAATTAGCAAAGTTTTTCTGCATCTGAAGATTTCACTTCTCTAGCAGTCTTTCTTCTCTTGGTGCATACTCTATCCAGTTTAATTAGCAACACCTTTTACTCTTTTCTTGGCTTTTAATTCTGATGTAATTTTTTTTTTCTTTCTCCTCTTTAGTTAACAAACCTGAACTTGGCAAGTGGAGCTATTAGCAAGGGGGATGCAGCCGCCCCACAGAGCTACCAGTCACCACTCAGCAAAAGAGGGTCATTGTGGGCTGTTCAGTCAGACACTCATATAGGTGACAAAAGATCTGTCTCTTCAGCAATCAGGTAAGTTAAAATTGCTGCTCCATCTTTTTGAAGAAGAATGCAATGCACTCAGGAGCTCATTTGTAATTTGTGTTTGGCTTCTTGCTCAGATGATAACATCTAAGGGCCTAGTACTGGATCTTCTTGGGACTATCCTAGAAACTAGGCCTATGAAAATAGAGGTATGTTCCCAGAGCTGGCAGGTTCATGGTGAAATAAGGGCATGGATGAACACGTAGAATGAAAGGGAAATGTCTGTTTCTCTTTGATTGGTTCTCATCCCTACATCTTTAAGTTTAGGTTTGCTGGTGCTGAGACACGTATGCAGAATGCAAGCTTATGCCTGATACTGCAGGAATCTCCACTAAGGCCTCATCTTCATGCTTTTTCCTTGAACAACAATTTTAGATTGTTCAAAGACAGAGCAGCATCTTTCAGTGTTTATAAAAGTTTATTTTTCAGATGGCTTCTTTATGCTCTTTATGGATTTTGGAAATCAGAATTTACAGTCATGGCTGTTATGGGACTCAAGGCAGAAGACTGTGATTCTGCAGTAAACCCATTCTTCTTGGGGTTGAAAGAGCAGCAAGATTTACCCCAAGGATTCTGGAACTTGGAAGCTAGGAGCAAGGCAAGCTTGTTACAGTAGACTAGGCTGAATACAGGCCCACAACTGCAGATTAGAGTTCTTCCTTTGCCACTTCAGTAAATATTATTTAATCCTTTGCCTGAGCTTTCATTTTTGTCTTTTAATATAGAATAATGAGGCAGAGCTTCTTCAACACATGAGTTTAGGACTGGAAAGCACAGTATATATTAAATTACTGATTCTTGTCATTGGTGCCTGAATGCTACTGGAAAATGGAGAGAAATGAGAGAGGTAGACACACAGTGTAGAAGACGTGACCTGAGTGGTCATCTGTTCCCAAATGAGTCCTTCACTAGGAGGATTGGAAGGGGATTTTGAAAGCTCAAGTAAAATTGTTCTTATTTCATCAGTCACTGCTTTTCGTCCTGCCTGAAGAAGAGGAATGCGAGAAATGAATTCCTGGCCTGTTTCTGTTCCAGCACAATGTTTGCCTCTGGGGTTTAGATTTATTGAAAGAGGTGGTGGTGATTCTGCTCTTGGAGCCCAGCCAGGCGAGCTATTACCTAATCCAAATAAAGAACCCATCCAACAGGTGTAAACTGCCTTCCCTTCCTACATAGCTTGAGAGAGCAGCAGAGTGCAGGCTGTCCTGGAGCTTCTGTTCCTTTCTCAACTCTGCTTACACCTCTGCATGGACTCACACACATAGCTGGAAAAGGATTACTCATGGACAAAATCTTCTGTTGCTGAACTGTGCAGAAGTCACTATTTGCCGCATTGCTCTGAAACCATTTCAGTTATAAGTTACCTTATAATATATATAACCTTATAACCAGTAGATCTGAGAACCCACCATTTAATGCCCAGAACTCCACTCTGAATGACTTCCAGGGCTGTGCCCCATCTAGCATTGTGTACATAATTTTAACACCTGTAGAAATTCTGTTTTCTTTTGTACAGCAATCCAAGTAGTTCAGAATTGTCTGGTCACAGCTGGTATAAGATTCCATCTTCGAACCTTTTATGAACCATTTGGTCCTTCAGTACTTCAGTTTCTCTGTTTTTATCCTCAGATCAAGAGACAGAAAGATGTCTTAATACTCTTTACTGAATTACTTTATCTTCATGGCTGCTTCTATTGAATGGCCAGAATACCAGAAGTTAGAAGTTTTATGTAAATCTGTAAATCAAAAAAAAGGGATTCTTGGGCAGTGCTGGATTGCTGGGGCTGTGAAATTTTATTTAATGAGAGAATACCAAAAGGCATATCAAGTCCATGATATATGGAGATGGCTATCTTGTATCGTAAATACAATTTTTGCTAATCAATCTGTTACATTGGAGGCAGCAGTTCATAGAGGGTCATATGACGGGTGGCAGCCTGTGCTGGGTGCTGGATTATGGTTTGAAGAAGAGCTTCCTGTTTTGTTCAATTAAGGTTCTGGTCTGTCAGTTGTAGAATTTGTCAAGGATAGAAATGTTTTGTAAATGGGTTTCTTAACTGGCTTGCACTTGACTGCAGTTCAAACATCTGCCTCTGAAACTCAGTCCTTACAGTTTTTTGTATGGCTCTATGGTAAATCTAAGCCATTTTAGTGCTACTAAGGTTTGTCTGAAATTTTGTTTTGGTACTTGCAATCTATAGGATTCAGGCTATTCTTATTGAAAAATCTTCCTCCTCTTTAATTCCCACTCTCCCAGTACTTATCTAAATGTTTCTCAAAAGAAGTTCTCCCCTCTTTTGTTGAATTCTTTTGACTGTAGGAGATGAGGTGCCAAATCAGTAGTCTACTTGTAAAAAAGTAAAGATGATACTGAGTTTATAACATAGAGACAGAGAACAGGTCTGAATATGTTAAAATGTTATTTTATAAATCTGCACTGCTGTGCCTTTTGAGAGATTTTTTTTTTGGTGTCACTTTTTATAAACATGGGTGCTCTTCCCACTCAAATGATGCCCCAGACAAAGAAGCCTTCAGGGCTACACAAAAAGTGAGATGTTCCAAGTTGTACATGGGCTTACTTCTAACTACCATAACATGGCTGTCAGCCTTTACCACGTTTGCTGCAGCACTGCCTCTGTTGCCCTCCATAGCTCATTGAGGCTGTGCCAAATCTGCTCTCTCCTTTAACCCTAGTCCTGTCTCAGTGCTCCATTTCAGTTCTATCTCAGCTTCTCACTCTATCCATCAGGCATGATTGTCACCCTTTCACATTCTGCTGTAAAGGCACTAAACATAGTTAAATGTTTTGTTGTAGAAGTATTTAAGATTCCTATATATATTTTTTTATTACAGTTTTAATAATGTAATCTAAGGACAACAGATATGAAAGTGATTCCTCATTATCCAGTGAAACTAATTTCCAGTCACTGAAGCCAAAACCTTACTAGAACTGCTGTTGGAAAAGCATTCTCTTGAAAGCGTTCTCAGTTGCATAACAAAGGTAAAAAATCAGGTGTTTAAGACAATGAAGCTTGTTGATTCAGAACCTAAACTAACTTTTGAGTACCTGTTGGCAAATAGTTGCATAATCCCTACTGGTGGTAATGGTAGATGTTCCTAAAAGCTTCTGGCACTGGAATCTGCAGCTGCTGTGTCGCTTGTTTTTTGAAAAAGACAGTGGATTTCTCCTCAAAGAATAAATTGGGCTCTGCAGGTCACTTATCTCCAAGACTTGGACTAAAGCTAGTGAGAAAGATTTCTTTCTAACTGGTACAGATTTCTGTGTTTTCAGTGGGCACCTTGGATTAAACAGCAGCCATCCTTGCTCAGGTTCATCTTTTAGAACTTGTATGAGCAGTCAGTCGGCAAGAATTCAGCAGTGAGATGGTCAGTGTTTTCTCAGATCTCTGTTTCATTAGCTTCTTGTTCTTTCATAACATCTTTGTGAAACCTAAAGACAAGACCAACCTAGCTCTTTTAAAGTACTCAGCATATTTTTTCCATGGATCTTCTGACAGGTTTATCTAACTTGGTTAGGGCAGACAGGCAAGCAGGATTCCCTGTCATCAATCAAAGGGTAGAATGGCAGTTCAAATTATCCCAGCAGCCCTGGGAGGGCTACTGCAGCCAGAAACAAGGGATTCTCCTCTTCTCATTGCTTGACATGTCCAAAATACTTCTTAGCTCATAATTTCAGCCAAGGTGCTCAGGTTCATTGAGAAATGATGTTTTCTTGGCAGGCTGTCTAATCTGGGTTAAATTGTATAAAACCAGACTTTTTCAATTTTCTTATCTGAAGGTTTCTAAGTTTAATTTGCTCTGGTGTCATTTGCAGTGGTAGTAACAGTGGCAGCTGCTCAGGGCTTCACGGGCTGTGTGCACATACCGGCCATATGTCCAGGTTCCCAAACAGGCTCTGCTTTGTGTATTTTCATTTTCATTTTTCCTTGTGTAGAAGTACTGAATGAGGTGGGAAACCAGAAGATGCTGCCTAGACATTTGGTATCTCAGGCTTTCAGGAACCCCAAACAGTATACTGTCTCTGAAAATTCTGGAAATATCTAATGTGCAGTAAGACTGCAGCTTTTCAAAGGAATTAGACTTCATGCCCTTTCACAGCATAGTTAGAGCATTCACGTAGTAGGTGCTTCTGGTACACATTGCATATATTTACAGGTCACATTGCATATATTTACTGCTCACATACAAATCAACTGAACTGTATGGGTGCAGGAAATCCAGTAGCTCTTAAAACATTAGCTTCCTGTGCCTGTTATAATAGCAAATATGTATTAATTTGTGTCCCCAAAATTCTACACATAAAAATGATTGCACTCTTGCACACCCCAGCTCACAAACTAAGAGCCCTATGCTGCATCTTCTGACAATCTTGCACACTGCTTTTGTAGTCTCCCAAACCAGAAACTTCTTTTTAACCACTGGCCTTTCTTAGACTTCACTGTGTAGTGGATACTTTATATCCTCCTTCCCCACTTAGTGCCTACTGCTGCTTCATGCTGGTTTCATTTACTGCTAGAGGTATGTGTGCTACATTTTCTAGATGTCAGATGTTCTACTCTGATCATACTAAGTATATATCCTTTGAACTCGTGAAGATGTGGAAGAGTCTCTGATCTCCTTTGAGACTTTTTTCTGTACTGGTGTAAATCTCTTCTCTATTCCCACTGAAACTTTGAGGTTTGCCAGAAAGACCCCAGACAACTGTCACAGGCTAGTTGCAGTTCACGGGTCTTGATCCTTTGTGTCAAAGGGGCAGCTCACTGAGTTTGACATAATGGGAAGGTGCAAGTGGCTTCATTGTTTCCTCAGTTTTTATTTTACATTTTGGAGATGTGGAATGTAAAATAAGAAATGAGGCTTGGACCTTGACTAGACAGGTTCTGAATAGGTATGAGAAGAGTGAAACTGGAATAGCCAAGTTATATGCCAACATGCAAGGCGATTCTCACGATGATAGAAGGATGAAC